TTTTTTATCTGTATTTTATAATTTTTTAAATATATTAAATTAATGTAAGATGAGTTAAAATATGTATTTTCTCTTAAATTGGAAAATTTTATATTTTTATCTTATATTAAGAAGTTTTTAATCTTAGAGTATGTTTGGTGTGATTGGAACTGTTGCAAAAGTACTGTTTTTGAGAAGTTGATAGTATTTGAAAATTTTTTTTATAGAAGTACTTATAGAGTGAAAAGTTGTTTGGTAAATTTTTTTATAAAAGATGTTTTAATATTAAAATGGTTAAAATAGACATGGTTTATTTTTTCATCACTCCGACTTTATTTTTTTATATTTTTATATGACTTTAAATTTATAATTAGTTTAAAGTTGATGATTAAAAATTAATTATTCAAATTTAAAAACATAAATGTTAGATAAATATTTATATTTTAATATTAAAAAATAAAATATTATTACATTTAAATAACATAAATAAGACAATTAAAATTAAAACTTAAGTTAAATACCCTTTTTGGTCATCTACTATTTAAAAAAATCTTTTTTTAATTCTTATACTAGAAAAATCTTTTTTTAATCCTTAAAGTTTTAAAAATTCAACTTTTTTTTAATACTTTTCATTAAGTTTTAATGTGACATATTAATTAAGAAAAAATTTATATGAAATATCCATATAATAAAAGTTAATAACATGGTTAAGTTTTTTATTAATATAACCTTAAAATCATTTAATTATATAATTATCAATATAAATATTTTAAAGGTTATTATTCTCCCCCTCCTTTGGCTGTTTTTTTCTTTGTTTACCTTTGGGTTGGCACAAACCCAAGCACAAGGTTCGTCTTGGAACCCAGCTCCTTGGTTCATTGCGAATCCAGGTGTGGAGTTCGTCTCAAACCCAGGCTTGGGATTCGTTACGAACCCAGCTCTTGGGTTCGTCTCCAAACTGAAGATGAGGGATTTTCGATTTAAGGAGGAAAAAGATGGGGAAGAATACGGTAAGGATTTTCGATTTGTTTCTCTGATTGGATGAGGAAAAAGATAGTTAAAAAGACGGGGGAAGAAACAGATGTGGCTGGGTTGCTTCATAATGGTGGGTGATGTTATAAATTGGTAAGGATTTTCAGTTTGTTTCTCTGATTGGATGAGGAAGAAGATAGTTAAGAAGACATGGAAGAAACAAATGTGCCTGGGTTGCTTGGTAATGTTATAAATTGGAACCCTTACATACTGGTTTTTTTTTTCTCTTTTGTAAATAAGAGGAAGTGTGAGGATAAAATGGGAATACCATGTCAATTTCATTAATCCTAAAGCGAGAAGCTCACACAGAAGCACGAAATTGGTGCTTTTAGGATTTGCAAAGGAATGGGGAGAAGATGTGCTTCTGGGAAACTGTAACATGTTTGAGAAGCTGACCCGTTTGAGAAGTTGGCCCATTTGGTGCAATTTGTACTTTTAAAGCCAAAAAGCTCTTTTCATGTTCGACACCAAACATGCTCTTAAATTATTAACTTTTAGCCTTTAGATTAATGGAATTTGTTAACTTTTTGTTAGGTAAGAATAAAATATTTATAATATCAATCTTTAAAGTTTAAAATTGTGACAATTTAATTCTAAAAGATTAAAAATTAAAAAAATCAGTAAATTAAAAATAATTAGTAGATAATATTATCAAATATACTAAAACAATATTATATATTTACAATCAAATTGAGAGATTAACTCAATTTAAAAAAATAAATTTGATTCAAATTAAAGAAATTTTTTTAACTACATTCTTCTTATCTCTTGGATTTTTTTATCTTAATTTAATTAATAAATTTTATTTAATCTCAATCATAATTCTTTTTTTAAATTGA